ACTTGCGACGTCACAGGTTTGCTGGCATTCTTTGTTCGTCGGAGTATGACGCAAGATGAGCGAAAGAAGGATTTCAAACTCAGAGAGATAGCACGAGAACGCAATAAAGGAAAGAAGAACAAGGATTGGGTAGTTCTTCGCGAACAATTGGCAAAAGTTAGTATATGGCAAATTTGGAGGTCGGAAAGCGCATAAATTCTTTAACGTAAAATCAAAGCTTATTCAATCAATGCCTATGATCGAAACATGTTCTCTCCAAAAATCTTTGATGATGAAATAGTAGGCAACTTTCTAAATTGCATCTCTCGATCAGTTAGGAAGACACGTGAAGATGGCGGAGTGCGTGTTCTATTTATTTCTAGCCGAACTTTTAGTTTTAAAAGGAGATGTGACAATGAAGTTGTTACAGCTCAGGGTAGTTGACATCTGCACGACGTATAATTCTGTCATTCTAATGTTTACAGGGCTCTAGAGGTCATTGAAGCTCTGAGAGATAGGCTTATATCATGGCTTTTGAGATCAGGTGCTATCCCGAAAAAGCAACATGGCTTCTTGGAGGCGCAAATGACTGGACAATGGCGCTCAATAATGACCAATCAGTTTATAACATTTTACCGACCTTTCGAAGGCCATTAGTGTGTCATAAAAACCTTTTATCAAGCTCAAAAGACTTGGAGTTTTTGGAAAATTACTTCCTTGGTTAGAATCCTTCTACATAAGAAATACATGAGTGAAAATTGCCCTTAATCACTCCAATAGACACTCTCGTGATAGTGGCTTTCCCAGAGAGGCGCACTTTCGCTTTACTTTTTTGAGATATACAGTGGGTCGCCTTCGGTCTTGAAGACATTGGCCCGTAGTAATCCCCCTTCATTTCAGATGATCTCAACTCAGAGGCTGAGTTGTGGTATTTAAGATAAGCTGACTAGCGGTCACTCTCACATGCTTAAGAATGCGACCTGATCTGAAGGGTTAGCGTCAGGGCATGTGCCGCGATGAATTCACTTGAAATCCGTAAGAGCAGCCTCGATTTTGAGATGAATTGACCGAAATAGTGTGCAAGGGATGAGACGCAGAGAAAAGTCCCGTAATGCCCGTGAGTAACTTACGGGACACTTACCACTTACATAATATTGCAGACTAGAATGCGCGAAACTGCACAACCGCGCCCGAATAGGAGAGGATCGATGAACAGCTGATTTTGGCCAGGAAAACAAAAAAACAAATTCCTCTCTTTTTTGTAAACTTCACTGTTTTTTTTTAAAGTTGTCCAAAACGAGAACGCATTTGTTTATTTCATTAAATTCACGCTGCAACCATTTCGTTTTTTCGTGAACTTTTCGACACAAAATGTGTTTTCGTTTTATCCGTACATTTGCTAAGCGAAATCCTTGATAGCGGTCATCATCGATTGCGATAGTGGCGGCTATCCAAGATTGTCCGGCGATGCAGCAAAAGTCGTTTCACTAGACGGAGTCGAACCACGGCCGTGCCCGTGTAATTCCAGTCATTTACCCGTTCGACCAAACCGACTCAAGTGGCTACTTTTTCAAGAATGCACTTGATTATAATGTCCAGGAAGTGATCCGCATCCAGATCAATAGCTCGCCGGATGCTAGATTGAGGTGCGATGAGATCACCCCCGGTCCGCGTCAAGAGAGATGCCCTGATGGGGGCGGGGGTTTACTACGGGCCATTACTTCTTATCAAAGTACAAATGTATGCTGATGATGTAAAACTTTATGGAATTCTCGACTCCTCGAATTATGGTGAGATTCGCAATGCTTTAAAGACGTCTCTTGAAAAATGCTCTGTTAGTCACATGAATGGCATCTTCCCATAAGTCTTGACAAATGTGCGGTTATGCATATCGGGAAAAGTGAAGGAGCTAGTTATGAAGTTAGGAATCATATTAGCAGAATGTAAGCTGGTGAAAGATCCGAGAGTTATGATTGAACCATCTCTCAGTTTTTCTCAACATATAAATGTCATCACAAAAAAGCTTATAATGAACTATATGCCATTTTCAGATCTATGCATTCTCAAAATCCTTTCGTATTCAAATAACTGTACAAAGCTTTTGTCTTGCCTCATTTAAAGTGCCGTCCACAGATTTAGAGTCCATTTTTAAATAAAGATGTTAGAAAGATAGACAAATAACAAACACATTTACACGTTCGTTATACTTCAAATGTTGGAAAGGCAAGACCAGAGCTACCATGCCGTCTTACCCTAACCGTCTTGCAGGACTAAATATGAAATGTTTAGACATCGCAGAAAAGTTTTTGATCTCGTTTTTTTGTTTTCGAGTTTTACGGAAAAAATTAAGATCTCAGCGAGCAAGTATTAGGCTTTCATGCCTAACCAATCGACGCTTCCCTTTTTTTGGTTTGCATTATAACAGAATTAAAAGAAGACAGTTTATGCTGACGTACAACAACTAATTTTGCCGAGGAGCGAGATGGTTGCAGCATTTACCTTCGAGCGTTTTCAACTCGACCTGCTGCTTTAGCTTCAAATGAAAATTGAGGAAAGTTGATTTGCAGCAACTTTTGAACAGTCAGTAATACTTTCTTAGGGTCGCATGCATTAACATCCCCGCTAAAGAGGGGATCGCAGCTTAGAAAAAAGCTTCATATCCTGAAGCTCCAAATAACTGGATTTCACGCTGTATACCTATCCCTAAGTATTCCTACCATCCTTCACTATGAACATATCAAACAAGAGCGAGAAGATGTACAAGCCGCATTTTCGAGCAAATTGTATGATGATAATCCCGTGATCAGGGCTCGGCACGAGGTGGCTAGATGAAAATGGAAAAAACGAAGTCCCCCTTGACTTTTGGGAATTTTTACGAAGTCCCATTTGACCCTCAACCAAATTTCCTCTAAAAGCCTGAAAAATTCCCCAAAATCCCCCAAAAAACGAAACGTCGACTAAAAAAAAAAGGTCGCCGTCGCCATTTTTCCGTGTCTCTTCGGTCACAAAAACGAAACCCCCTTTGCTTTTCATCCCAAAAACGATATCCAGCTTGCTTGTAAGCCACCTCGTGCCGAGTCCTGCCCGTGATGATCCTCGGCGGCCGACCGTCTTTTCTTCAAAGTCATTTTTCTTCTTTCAAAGTTAGCGAAAACATTCCAGAGTTGTACTGTTCATCTAGCCCGACAGTGCTGAGCATGTTGCTGATAAGAAGAGATGAGTTTTTGAAAAATCGAATTTTTCGATAAACCCCAATATTCGACCTTCATCGCAAATTTCATGACTCCAATATACCATTTGTTCTTACCACAACATGCTTAGCACTGTTGGGCTAATGAACGTACAACTCTGGAATGTTTTCGCTACCCTTAAAAAATGACTTTGGAGAAAAGACGGTCGGTCGCCAGGGATCACCAGGGATCTACAAAAGTGCTAGAAAATGTGGCTTGTGCAGCTTGTCGCTCTTGTCCAATATGTTCATAGTAAAGAATGGTAGGAATACTTACGGCTGGGTAGACAGCGTGAAATCCTATCTGGAGCTTCAGGATATGAAGTTTATTTTCTGAGCTGTGATCCACTCCCCGGCGGGGAGTTAATACATGCGGCCCTTAGATTATAACCATTATTTAATGGTCTAACATGACCACTTATTCAAAATTGTGCCTTAGGTAAACAAATGCTCATTTACAACAAATAGGCAAATCTATGAAACCAAGTTCAGTATGCATTTCCGCATGAGAGAGTCAAACTATATGAAGTCTTTATATGTACGATTATGCGAATTGGAGCCTAGCGAACATTTTTCTAGATGGCCGGCACGTTTCAGCTCTGTCCTAGCTAAACTGGCGCTCACATATATTCAACCCTTTGGTGCAAAAATGATTCGTGCTCCTTTCTGCAAGCTGTACCTTTGAAGATTCAAGTGATGTAGCCTCTTGCTACAAGCCAAGATAGTGCCCAATAACATCAGTTACTGTTATTATCAATGGCTTATGATCAAGCTCAAGTAAAGGCATTTTATTCACTCAATCTTAAGCAAATCTGAGACAAACTTCGAAAAAGAATTTGCAAACTTGAAAAATTTTTTCCCAGAAATTCCAGGTTTCAGACCTTGCTCTATCTTGAGACTAAATGAGGAAGGTGATGCATAAACTCAATTTCATGTGATATGTCTTATATCACTTATATGAATAATTTCCGCAGATATCATTTCAGTTTGAGTCCTAAATAATCCTAAATATAACATGCTACAATCAACGTATTGCCTACTGGTGCACCTACAGCATCTTTGTCAAGAGCTCACAGTTAGAAGATAAGCGAGGTGCCGCTAAAAAAACTAAAATATGTCGCCGACGCTCAGATGCAAATTCAGGACGTCTTACTGACATGTAAACGTTGGTAAATTTGACGAATCTTTGCACTGTCCAAAATTCGGCAATTGAAATTTGGATTGCCTGGTTTCCGCCTCACTCCGACTGTGGGAGTAGACAGTGTTAGAGCGTTCCATAAGTTCAAAACGTTTTTGCTCTCTCCAACGTTCACTGATGAAGCGGGCAGTTGCTTTGCGTGCTATTATTGGAATCGATCTGCATTGCCTTAGACAAAATCCACGCGTGAGTCCTGTGACCGTATTCATCAACGGGCTTTGATCCAAAATTCACCGTGGAAGCGCAAAAGCGTATCCACAACAAACCAAGGGAGGTTTGATTTTGTGGACAAAAAGCAGCTATCGTCGATTCGTTGACCCACGGACTGCTTAACCGCTGCGGACGACGCGCGGCGCGGTTGAAATGTTGAAATGTTGCGAGAGCACGATTTTAACAATGGCGAGTTTGTATTGGAGTAAGCATTTTACCTCGCGGCGCGTGCTCCGCGGTTGAATCCAGTCCGTGCAGTCAACGAATCGACGATAACTTTGAAATTAAACTGTACCTCAAGGTATCCTCTTAAGGTAAATAGGTTCGTTGATGAATATCATTGATTCGTTTTCTTATTAGGGTTTAATTTAGAATCTACAAAAACCAAACATGCAATGCTTTATTCAGCTACAGATCTCGATATGTAAAATTGTGCAAGCCAGTTCATAGTCTGTGCACCATAGTCTTTCTCACAGTTAATTTGCAGCTTTGGTACAAGATCACAAACACTTATTGCCTAAAAAAGCGCTAGCGCAGCGCAAGAAACGAGTGACATGGGACCTTATGGAAAGTACAACGGGACACAGACAATGTGGTATTTAATTGGGAGCCTTGCAGAGTCCATTACTGCATGAGGAGCTACAGTGACCACAAGTAGAACCTATGCGGTAGATGTATTGCGAGTAGATGTTTCCTCTGAAAATCAAAAATTTTTTACAACGAATTTAGCATTTCTAATGCGTACCTGACGTAATAGCGGCAAACGACTATAGTACCATAGTTACAATGATTCACACCACAGCCAACCTTATAGGAAGCAGCCCAAGCCATCTGCAATATTGACCACGGATAGGATTCCCTATTAGTGATAACGAGGCAGATGTTTCATATAGGCTCAATCCCGTAATTTCGTAACACATTGACGACGAGCCATTTTTTTTTTGAGGTCTGTCCGTGTGGACGAGACCTTTCCATGCATCCCTACGCCTGGCCGCATGTATGTATGCATGCATCCATGCACGAAATATAAAGTGTGCAAGTCCTGCCCCTATGTGGCAAGATCCGCCCACTCGGCCAAAAATGTCGGAAATTGCCCAAATTTTAAGAATTCGCCACTTTTGAAAAATGGGCGGAGTTTTTCTCCTAGAGGGCGGAACTTGCATAACGGTGGGAAGGGCCTGTCTAAAAGTTGCTCGTTCATCTACGGCCTCATCCATGCTTTTTATGGGCAAAAAGGATCTTTGCGAGGGGCATAGGAGTGGGCGGAGTTTGCCAGAAGGGGCGGGATCAGTACATGAAGTACATCTGAGCTTATGTTGGTTATATGGACAGAAACTGAGAGGATTGGTCAAAGAGTATTGAAATTAAGGCTGTACTGTTTTCTCTAAGAGCTACGTTCTTCCCTAGTTCATTCTCCGGACACATCCATTGCATAGTGGCAGCAATTACTGCGTATAAATTTTGCGACGAAACCGGAAACCCTTTTGCTCGTAGTAATGACAGACTTACGGATTTGAAAGCATACGTATAGTGGCAGTATGCTTTGGTTTGTTTTCCCTTTTCTGCCTATTCGAGGAAAATATAGGATGAACGTGACGCACCTGTGTGAAATTTGTAGGAGCATTTGCCGATTGTTCTAGTACTTGTGTATACTTTACCGCTTTATTCAGAGCTTTTCCTGTGATCTCATTCCACCAAACGTCAATAGCCTATATTCTCATTTTTCAGCAGGTATTCTCATACTGGACTGTTATCTCACATTCTTAAGAGCATCGGTACAGGAGGCACTCTTATCGTCTAGTATCGTAGTTGTTTCACCATGGCCTACGCGGGTACTCAGATCTGATTTTCCTGGTGGGCAAGTATTAGTATAAGTTTGTGCTTCGTTCTCCAATGCGGTATCATAACTCTAGGAACCAGAAATTGAGATGCGGGTATTTGAGCCGTATGAAGAGCTTGATGATCTCGGTTTACTTCACTTAGGAAGTCTCGAAAGTTTTGTCGTTTCGTTTTTAAAATCTTAACTTTCCCTATCTTGACATGATTGCTTCTTTGTGATTTCAGTAAAAGTTCTTCGTAGATATACCTTTATATGTTTTTTACTATGCACTCATTGCAAAGATAAATGGAAAAGGAAGGACTTCGACTATAAGTTAGGCGAAAAATCTGGAATGTTGCGAAAAATCTGGAATTAGTGGTACATAAGGATTTATTACCTCCATTTCCCAACGAGAAAGAGAGAATTTGTCTTCTTGGACGTTTCTGCGAGAAGTGATTTTCGAGAAAAATACAGTTCAATCAATTTTGGCATTTTCACTGCAAAAACCCAAAATTCGTAAGTTACCGCAGATTCGGACCTAACAAACGATCGAAGCCTGAAAAACTCTCCTTTTTCATTTTTAATTCTGCAGTGGGGCTTAGTAGAAGTTCGTCGAGATAAAATCAAATTACAAAGGGGAACCTTTCCTTTCCAATAAAATTACTAATGTAAGAAGCAAATAGGCAAGATAGCTAAATGTTACAAATTTTTTAGAAAATTGAGACGATAGGACTTTCGGGACAACCTAATAGTTACCATCTTATACATGTTCGTAGCTTTTGGCAATGTTGTCCCTGTTGGTCCGTTTTGTACTTGTCCTTTAGCTAATGAAGATCTAAAAGTTTTTGATGTTGTGTATATATGAAATAAGTATTTTCTTTTCGCAGATGTAGGAGATAGGAAAACAATACAGGGTGTCCCAAAAAAATTGATCGTTGATAACTCTCTTGCTTTATTGACTTTTGCCATTACAGGGCTGCCATTTTGTGGGGCTGGCTTCAAGTTAGATTTGCAGTTTGGAGCAAATGAAGAATCTCTGTTCTTTACTGTAGGATTACGGTAAGGGCTTTGAGGGAGGTTTTGACTCATTAAGGCTCATATTTTACCTCCAGAATAGAATCAAAGACGTTGAAAACTCCAGTATACTGTGACAACCATTCTCCCAATGTTGCTCAAAATTTTGATTTAGTTTTGAGAACTCGTAAATTGTTGCGTAGTAAATTCAGCATGCATGGAAAAATTTTCACGTAATTTTTGCATCTCTCTAGAAAATTTTTTAAAAGGCCTATATTTGGCGAATGTGCTGCAAGTTCCCACTATAACATCGATGTAATGAAGATCCTTAATGTGCTCTATAATCTAAATCGTTAAAGCCAGCTCTACAAAATTGCACGTTAATAGCGGTGACAGACAATGAAGCAAAAGAGTTATTAATGATCAAACAGAGGCACAATTTTTGGGACATCCTATATTTATAGGTATTTATAGTATAAACAGTTTTTGAAAGAATGTTTAACCACATCGAGAACCTCACCGCTTCTCATTAATAGCGTTCACCACCTGATCCCTAATGGCATCTGTCATACATCCAGTCGAACTGCTCGTAGTTGTCTGACGTGGCGTCGTCTGACGTGACGTCGTCTGACCTGGCGTCGACTGACCTAGCGTCGTCTGACCTAGCGACGACTGACGTGGTGGCGTCGTCTGACTTGCCGTCGTCTGACTTGGCCTCGTCTGATTTGGCGTTGTCTGACCTGTCGTCGGAAGCAAAGATGTTTGGACTGATGTTGAAAGCGAAGACCCTTGGCTTGATATCGGAGTACTTCCTTGACTTTCCGTCGAAGTGCTAGTGGTCACAGCAGCAGTAGAGGTTGTGGTTACATCTGCATGTGCAAACACAATTATTTGTACTGCAAAAAATATATGATTTCGTTTTTACCCTCTATTGAATCTTTGTCTGTTACACATAGTCCATTACTAGAATCGCATTTAGAGTCTGGTTCCAGCTCCTGGCACTTTTTTCGAGTGCACCCAGTCTTTGTGCTAGCTTCAATGTACAGAGGCTGTCCGCTTTGCGGTCTTGAACAAAACGAAGGATTTCCTTATCACTTATTAGGAGGAAAAAACACCTACTTCTTATTGTACACGCATGCGATAAGAGCTCGTTTGCCACATATCTCATGGCTACATCCCACCCTCAGCGACTTGTAGTAAATCATCTGAAATGCTATGCAAAAATAAGAATGACATTGTTTTACTCAAAGATGAGAACAGGTAGTGATCAGCCTAATTTTGTAAAAAATGAGCAAGTAGGTGTTTCGTCCAAACTTCAGCAGTACACTCTCTGCTGCAAGTTGAGCAGATGGACATCTCTTAAATCTGCTTATATGGGGCTGCAACGAATAAAAGCCCTGCAGGGCTTATGCGCAACAGCGAAGACGGATTTATGTTATGTCGATTTTGGAATTGTTATTTCAAAAGGCATTTTAGGCATAGCTTGTTCTGAGCTATGCCTATGTTTCTTTCAGAACTATCCCAGCAAGACTAATCTGCCTGTGTCCCATACATTAGCGTTGCACCGGATGTTTTCGGAATGGACGATTATCGAATTCAAGAACAATACTGTACTTATTCGTGTGGCGTCTCCTCTGATACATAAAGGATATCCGTCGATGACCGCCCCGTTCGTGCATTTACAGCACCGCAGTGCCTTTTTGGAGCCTTTACAGCTTTATAATACCCTAGGCGGGAAATTTGCAGCTCTCAGCATCCGTGCCATATAACCTATCTTGTTGATTGCTAATTTCTTATAGTTTTTTCTTCTTGATCCTCATTTCAGGCAGTCACCCGTTTTCCCCTTCTTTGAAGTCCTCTCGACGATCGAATATCCTACAAGTTCTGCTTTAATGGATACTGAACGACTAAAAAAGGGCTTTTGTACATTCGACTCCATCTCCTTTTACCTACGATACAATCACTTTCAAAGTCATAGAATGTTGACCGGGCATAGCTATAGCTATAGGAGAAAGGGTAAGCTTTCTTCAAAAGCAGTAATATCTATTATGTTTTTTCTTTGGATGAGACCACTCACATGTCTATCTCAGCACACCTACATGGGTCCCTGATCTAGGAGCGCTGAAATACCACTTCAGTGGTCTCTACAAAAATGGCAAATGATTCTAAAACACTGAAGAAATACGCACCCTCACCGTAGGGTAGGTTATCCAACGCTACAACTATGAAGAAAGCTCATTATCTCTTCTAACTTTGCTCGGAACGATGATCTTATTTGGTGGGAACGTGTAAGTGCCCCAATTTCACGCGTACAAGGCGCGGGGTGGTCCTAGCTTTCATCGAGCTGCTCAGCCGCCCCAACATGTTTTAAGAAGCGATCCTTATGCCGCACGATTTGTCAGGCAAAAGCAGCACGGTATGGAGTTCCTTTGGTTGCGAGGTCCTTTGCCGTGTTCGGGCTGGTTGATGAAAGCTAGGACCACCCCGCGCCTTGTACGCGTGAAATTAGGGTAAGTATAATAAGTAATTGTGAGTAAATGTGTAAGTGCCTTGGATGAGAAATGAGAAGAAGAAATGATGAGAAATGCTCATTCAATCAACAAAAGCTTAAAAGGACAGGGAGGCTGTAAGTTGCGAATTCCTCGCAATTCCTGCGGGTATTGTAAAGCTGGAAAGGCTCCAAAAAGGCCTCTCTCTGGTGTAAGTGAACGAAACAGGGCATTCGTCGACGGATAACCCTTAGAAAACTTGTTTAAGTACGGTAGTCTTATAAGAGTTATCGGATATTACTTATTAGGGACTTAGTGTGCTAACTTTTGCCGTAAATTGCTTCACTGAAGCGAAAATTTAATTTGTATTGAAAAAACTATTAGCCACCGCAATCAGACATGCGCTTCTCCTATCTATATGTATATCATTGTTCTGTGAGTTCACAAATAGCAAATGCTTTCATGCATTTAGCAGCAGAGACTACTGAGGGGGTAGCCGTGGGAACATTTCATCTTGAAAAGCTGCAAATCTTTGCGCCACTCAGACGTTACATGGTAACCATAAGTTTAGATCATACTATCCTCCAGTTATTTGTAATTTGATGCCTGTAGCACACCATGCAGCTACTACTTAGAGAATAAATTCTGCTCATTTTAGTGATTGGTTTTAGATTTGTACTGATCAGTGGTACACTATCCTACATTTTGTTAGTTGTTTTACTGGTAAGTTTATAGTAAGAGTGTTGTCGGTTACCGAGCTTGGTGTGCAGGCTCAGATGTAAGTTACAAACGACTCGAAGATATGTCTGAATGCTTGTGCGTTCATGCTACAAATCTATTTGAAAACTTGAATAAAGTATCAGATTCCTAGTTGATACTCACATTTGCAAAGTTTTCTGGAACATTGCTGGTGTACGTAGCAGCGCTGAGTGGTAGTGGTATATCATCCTTGGCATCGTCACGCCAACCTTCGATTGTGGTTTCATACGCATCCTGTATCTGTGCTGCTTTAGTACCACTTATGATTGCTCTAAACAGAAGTTTCTTTACTTTCGCAGAGCAACGATGTTATAGAGCAGACTTTTCGCAAACGATGGAGTAACCGAAAGTGTCTGCAAAACTTTTATCGCATTTACAGCTCGTAATAGACGCAGAAGCAAGTCCTTGTAGCGAACAATCATAGCTCTGAAAATTGTTCTGATTCAATTAGTGAGCCGCCAAACACACAAACTGATTAAATCTTCTGTCATTTTGTTTGAATCCCACACTGTGTTTGATTTGTTAAATGACTGTTTTTGCTGGTTGCAAAAGTCGAATAGACAGCCTCCTGATTCGGTAAACATTGGTTGTTAGAACCGAATGAGCTCTGATCTGATTTTAATAAAAATTCTGATGGAGCTTAAAGGCAGTGGCTCGGCAAATCTCGACCTAGTTAAATTTGCGTTTACCTGGGGTTCAATACGCTGATCCCGAAAATCCACTTTTGAAAGCTTGAAAACGGCTAAAATGAGCGTTTTTCAATGCCCTTCCCTTTGGAACTGGACGAGTGGAGCAAGGCTGATGACGCCAAATCGTTGCAGGACCCAATGGTTATAGCATTGCTGCGGGCAACCTCCAATGGTGAGAAGGAAATTGTCAACTCGCCCGGATGCGTGTAAGATTGGCCTGCGCGTGTAAGTTTGAGGGCAATTTTCTCGGCAGAAAAAGCGTGCTGTGCAACCGGGATTGCACTGTTTTCATACTTGGGCGATAAGGAACCTACCGCATTGAAACCTGAGTTGTTGGATTTTGCCGATCCACTGCCTTCAAAGGCAGCGTCCAAGCAAATCTGGACCTATGGGGCTCTTACGTGGAAATAATCTTGAGGCCCTAAATAAGACTCTGCCCAAGCGGCAGTTCAGATAGTGCACTCACGGTTAAGATATTGGGCTCCAAACCATGCTCCATGACCATATTCGCATGGATTATGGCTCGGCACATCAGTTTCGCGTGGATCCTCGCGCGAAAGCGCCACGAATGCATGCGAATACGGTCACGGGGCATGGTTTGGAGCACAATATCTTAACCGTGAGTGCACTATCTGAACTGCCGCTTGGGCAAAGTCTTATTTAGGGCCTCTAGATTACTTTCCAAGTGGGAGCCCCATGGGTCCAGATTTGCCTGGACGCTGCCTTTAATCTCAAAAATGTTATCAAATCCGCCACTTCCAGATTTTTCTACTCTCAACATACTAACTGCTGGGAATTTTATAAACTTATCCGATGTCAGTCTGCATAAAGCAGCTATATAAGAGCATGTAGTAGTATGTGCTTAACTTGCAGAATTCTGAAATAAAAAACTTTAAAATTCTTTCGCAGAAGGCCAAGCACACTACATCAGCGTAAAAGCAAACAAAGATTTTATAAAAAGGTGTGCAAGCAGCTTTTGAGAGTATCAGGTTTTTTTTCTGCGGTATTTATAATGCAGAGAACCGAAAAATTTCAAAATATGTGTTTTTTGAATTTTTTTTCAATGCTTCAACTTCGATATCCGTTTGAAATTGTCAGTTATAGAAGGCAGAATTGATTCTAAATGAAATGTTGAGGCAAGCTGCACAGATTACTTCTTGCTATATGGTACCCAAGACCATGTATGAAAAGCACATGCAACTATTGGCTACTTTTTTGCTGGCTAATACTGTTATTTTGACGGGTAATACTCCTGTTAATTTTTATCCAGATGGCTCAATTTTTGTTGAATGCAGCATTGAATTTCAATCCTACCTTATTAACGTGTATTATCAACTATAATTCAATATATGTCAAAATGTTCGCCAACACTTTACTGCGCCGATGGTGGAAGATTGAAACTTTGCCATAGCTTTGAGACACATTTTACTTATAAGCAGACTTCGACGTCAGTTGACAGGGGTTTTCTTTTCATCTTCAGTTGTCTGCCTTGCCTCCAACGAAAATGTTGAAAATTTTAAGCTAAAATCACGCATATCGTCATCTACTCCATATTTACAGTAATTCTAAGAAACAGCCGAGAAGCAGGTAAGTGGTTTCTAAGGGAAGAGCGTAAGGCCCGGGGCAGAGCTCATGCGATTTCGTCGCGTCGCGTCCCATTTTGGACAAGTGTTCCACGCTACGCTGTTTAGTGTGTGGGTCCCGACGCGTTTGTGATGGTTGCGCGGCGCGATGGATCGCGCCACACTTTTCGGCGTTCATAGCTCGCCAGGCGACATCGTCGCGATTTTGCCGAATCGGCGCGATGTCGCGTCGCTCGTTTGCGGTGAGCGACGGCGCGAACGTCGCGTCGATCCTGAACTGGATTTTCGATGTTATTGTTGTATGTTGCTGTTGTTTTGCGGGTTATGAGTGTTTTCGCATGAACTTTTGAGAATGCTTAATTATGCCTATCCTTGCAATGCTTGATGAGGGCAGTTAGTCTTCACTTTGCATTTTTTCAAGTCTCATTTCCCTACATCTCATATATCCTAGGCTGCCAAAAAGATCCGTTAGAAGGCCCTACCCTGTTCGATTGCGCATCGAATACTTAAATAATGTGCTCACAGTCTATGTTGACGATGGTATGGAGCAAACTCCGAATAATGAGCTTTGCATGAGGTAATAACAGTATTTTCGTCTATCATGTGCAACACATGGGGACGTTTCTAGAGCTGAAAACATCGTTTTGCCGCGTAGCAGTTCTTTCGGAATGTCCGCAGCCACTGGGCCTTGCTGGTACTTCTTCCGTATTCGTAATTGATGCTTCCCAACAGTCATTTGATTATGATCCATTTACCAGAACCACGATGTCGTTGACTTCCTCCTTTTATTGTTGATCATTTGGGTGCATAACGTTGTGATCGTTATCAAATCGGGTTCTAATGTGATAAACTTTCAAACTTTCTTTGTCTGCTGCTACACCTCTTTTCGATGACAGTGATGTAGTAAAGTCAACGAGAGAACTGATTTTCACTAATGCATTTAAGTACTGCGATGTGTGAAGTGTTGTGCAATTGCATGAAATCCCGTCGGAGGTATGCACGCCTCCGGCGACTGAGCGACTCAGTCGTCGCGTCCCAGTCGCCACTTCCGTTCAAGTCGTCGCGACTGGAGATCGCGCGACTTCGTCGCGTGAGCTCTGCCCAGGGCCTAAGAGAACTTCTGAAACGACTCTCTACCAAAATACTAGTTACTTTAAGTAAATTCAAGCCATGACCCACCATGTGTGTCACATTGTCCCACAAAGCAGTCATTGCGTGACCCACTATGTGGGTCACGTTGTCGTCAATGTGTTAATTATTCCAATTGCAACAATCATCTTGCTTGATACTTACCGATTGTTTTTGTTTTTGCTTTATACCTTCTGTCTTACTGCAGACTTACCAGAGCAAACATATTCTTGGATCCCACTTTGCTGTACTTGATTTCTCCATACTCGCGCTGAGCAACCCCTTGTCGTACTTCATTATGTAACTGCACAATTTTGTCTTCAAGAGCACTACTGCCACAATCCTCTAAAGTTGAAAATTTCTATAAACTACTGCAAATTGTACGAAAACTTACGTAGACTGAGCGCCAGTTGATTGAATAGCACAAAAACGCACTTAAAATTCTGTAATCAAATGGAGGAAAGAAAAAAACATCACGTACCGTAATTAGACTGCGCATTCCAAGGGCAGCAAGGATGGTGTACTTTCAGTGGAGTCTGAGCTGCTCTTCTCGACCTTATATAGGTAACAGTGGAGACTACTTATCAGAAATGTGCTCTGCATATGTGCTACAGTATCAAGTCTTTTTCTTTATGTGAATTTTATGAGACATCTTGTCAGTGCCTATTATTGCTTTCGGTAACCGCAATGGACCTTACAACAAAAAAAAAACGATTTTATGTCGCTTCTGCGGCTGCAAATGAATTTTTGAAGCGTCTGTGTATTTGCAAAAGATCATAACTCGGAAAGGGTTTCTCCTCAAAAATTTGCTCCATTTTAGCATTTGGCTTTAGAGGTTTTTATTTTATTTTTGAGTCTGGCCGTACTACCAAAAGCTGGCGTAAGGCTCATTTGACAATTCAAAATTACAAACGACTAATCTACCTTTTATTAGGTCGCTCTAGATTCGAAACGTTTCCAATTTCGTCCTCAGTTCTTTGGAAAGTGGTTGATTTGAGGCAAGATATTTATATCATTGAATAAGGGCTGATCACGCTTCGAATCATATTGTGCGATTTCAATGGGCAGTTTTCTACTTAAATTTCTAAGCTTCCTAAGATGGAAATCTCAAAAAGCAAAAAGATGCATTTTCGACACCTGATAATTTCTGCGTATAAAAGTAAACGTTTTTTTTTGCAAAATTTCTTAGCTATCATGGAAAATAACGTTTGCTCTTTACTTTCAAACAAAAAAGAAATTAGCTTGCTTCAAAAGAAGGTTAAGCCGGAGTCGGAGCCGGAGGGGGGTCTTTGAGAGACTTTTCGGAAGGCGAGCAGGAACTCATGCACTGAAAATTGCTCAACAAAAAGAAGAATTCGACCACACTGTTTACACCCCAACTGCACCGTCTATACCAGGCCATACAGCAGAAAGTTATATAGACAGATCCAGTGAGTTTTAATGCATGTCCAAACATGACCCCATGCGGCAAACGTAGTCAAAAGTTTCTTGCAAGATTTGACTGGAAGGTGCTTTACAAGGAGAGGATACTTAGTCGAAAGCACTAATCCTGATGAGACATATATATCACCTTGAAGCGCTTGAAACGCTGATTCCAAATCTGTAGTTTCTAGCAGCGGAGCGGTTTTGTAAAAGGAGTTTTAAGGTGTTTCCCTCTGGGGCTAAGGCGCTAAGGCGCCCTTCAGCCGGTCTCCCCCTATCTATGAGCACTGTAGAGGATTACCAACTGGTGGCAACTGGCCTGGTGGTAAATAACTTGCTTGATAAGGAGAGTGTCAAGGTTTCAATACCCTTCGCATGCAACTTTATCACGTTTTTTGCTAATTTGGAATTTCTAAATGGCTTTGGAGCCCTAAAGCATGAAATTTCTGATGATATTGATAATCGAAGTTAGAAGTGCTTAAACCAAAGTACTACGAGTAGTATAATTCTTACTGTAATCCTCATTCAAATTACTTACCGTTAGGCCAGTTGCCACCAGTTGGTACTCCTTTACAGTGCTCATAGATAAGGGGAGACCTGCTGGAGGGCGCCTTAGCCCCAGAGTGAAACACTTCATAATTCCTTCTACAAAAGCACTCCGCTGCTGGAAACTACAGATTTGAAATCAGCGTTCCAAGCGCTTCAAGATGATATATGTCTCATCAGGATTGGTGCTTTCGACTAAGTATCCTCTCCTTGTTAGTATCCAATGTAGTATCCAAATCTCGCTTCATTAGATTATCACTTGTTCCGCTCTTTGAAACCTTGAAAATTGTACATGCCTCGATTTCAGAGAGTAATTGAAGCGCTGGTTAGGTGAATTTCTTAGGAACCGAAGCGTTGCCGTTTGAAAAATTGAAATTAAATAGCTGACAGGGTGTGGTAAAAGTTTATGCACTGCAATATAAATTACTAATTTTTTGTGAAAATTCATGGTTACGTTGGTTTATAAGAACGTTATGAACTTTTGTAAAGACCTAATCGTATAATGCAGTCATAGTTGCTGATAAAAAACCGGGATTGATGTTGTAGAGGAAATTAACGGTGGTAATGAGCAAGTTCAAGATAAATGAATCCAACAGCATCGAAATTTTCGACTAACATTCCGCAATTATTGTCGTTTTGTGCACATTCTTATGTATGAATCAAACATTTCGATCATACTTCTGATTAATTTGTTTGACTTGGGCAAAGAATTTCAAACTTTGAAAGAATACCTCAAATTCTTCGACTTTATTCTAAAATACATAGCAAACCGGTGATACGAATTAACCTGACACAAAGTTCTTTGGCGAACTTTTTGAAAGTTACTTTTAGGAGCTAAAAAAATGTGTAAGTTATTGCGTCTGAAACTTGATTCAAAAATTATTTTATTTTTTCGATGACTGGTGGGGGGGGGGGGGAGAAACAGTCACATTTTTCATGGAACTATTGAAAAATCATACCTCAAAAAACGAACTTCGAGCTCAAATGTACATTTGGCACTAATACAACAAATTGTCAAATTTTCAACTATTTTGTTTAAAGATGTCCAAATTCAAGCGTTTTGGATTGCTCAAAAATGACTTCCAAGCGCATATGGTTTGCTATATAGCAAAATGCGTACGTATTCAAACACCAAATTAGTCGTCCATACGCTCAATACATGCTAAAAATAAAACTTAGAGACCCAAAAAAGTGATTTTCCAAAAGGCCAGTCGTATAAGGGCATGGTTATCATTTAATTTCGGAAAATTTCAAAGACTTGATATGTGAGAGCAGAGACTTGAGGCTACCTTATCACAAAAAAATCTCAGCTGAATAGCTGTAATTTCAATTGCTGTAGATCTTCGAATTTGCAGGTCAAGAAGAAATCGTTGATTAGCCGACGCAATACTATCATAACTCCTCCTCCACTTTCCAAATAGCTTGCACTAATCATCTTCGTGAAGAGTCAGGCTCTTAAAGCTACAATAAAGAATCAGTTATATTGTAGTTTTTTTTTTCTGAAAGTGTGATACTTATTTAAAAAAAAAGTCCGATCAACGAATGCTCAAAGGCAGTGTCTCGGCAGAATTTCGTTTTCCAGATTTTTACATTTTCGGAGCCTCATCGCCATGAAGAATCCGTTTCTGGGCTTTTCAGCGCATGAAAATCGCGGTGCTTATTCCAAAGCTTTCCACGTCCGCACTCGGTGGGGAAGAGGGGGGGGGCGGAACGACGGAGGCGGAGCGCGACTTTTCCCGGCGTATCTTCGTTATATGTGGACCTGGAAAGCTTCGGCAAAGGCATATTTTTCCAATTTTCTTGCGCTGAAAAGCCCAGAAGCGGATTTCTCACGGCGAGAATGCTCCGAAAGGGTCAAGAACTGGAAAACGAAATTCTGCCGAGACACTACATTCAATACGTTTGCTAGTAATTAACATCAAGAATAACACAAACTTTGGAAAAAATATCCAAAGCTTGGGTATCGTTACCCAGTACAAAGCAAAGAGAGTCTAGTCACAAGAGTTATTCCAAGATCGGAAACCCTAGCAGCAACGAGTGAGAATCAGGCAGAAGTAAGAGATAAGCAGAGAGATAAATTTTAGGATTCATAGCTGATATTACGTTGAGCTGCTGTTTTGACAAACTTACGTCAAAGTAATAATAGCAATATTGATGTCAGCGAATGTGTAAGTTAAGAACTTTACGAAGATCACGCTAAAAAGATCAGAGAGATAACACGAGGAAGCAAACCTGTAAAGGAAAGAGATCAGAATGCAAGCCACGCGAATTGTCCATAATCGGCAAACGTCAACTTCCCTTGGCTTCTTCTCGAAAGCCATACGGTTACTAGTGCTCAAAAAGTTCGGTAGGTATGCGCCATAACCATCTAGTCTACAGAAAGTTTGATCAGAGTTTGCATGTTCCTTTCTTGGGCATAAATATCAGTGATTGCTAGATTTATTCGATTTTGCTTTTCAAGACTCTGGAGCAAAACATGAGAAAGCTAGACTTTTTTTGAACGAAAGATTAGTTTTATCTTTGCCGGGGTGTCATGATAGCACAGAGCGGTACTATTCGAAACGCAACTCTCCGGACGATTTTTGGTTAAAAAAATGTCCTTTCAAGTTTGTTGATATCCTTAGCTTCACACGATGTAAGCACGTCCGCGTCTCGGTACCACAAAAGATGTCGAGTCGTAGTCGCTGAATTCTTAAGCAGACTATTTAAGGTATCAGAAAAACTGTCGCATTCTCAATTATGTGTTCATAATCGTTGAAATTAGAAGACTCATAAAAACGCCCAAATCGTAGATGGAACTACATGCGTAAATCTATACCATTTCACTTGTACGTCAGCACTTCATTTGTTGACGTCTTCACGGTTTACGATGAAAAACTTTGATAAGTGTGATATAAATTTCTTGCTCGAATCTCCTCTCATTTCTAAAAATCCGCTAGATTCTATCACGAAGACGATAATTCTTCTCTGTTCAACGAAGCTGATGACAAGCCAAAAATGGAGAATTTTGACATTCTAAATATGGTGCCTCACTATAATAAACAACACATCTATCGAAAGCCGAAAACCTTGTTATATCTCAAAGCTTTATTAGCTGTCAAGAGTCCTTGAACCACAGAACAAGAAAGGTTTTCGGTGCTCACTGCATCAAAGCAATTTGAGCTTCCAGATTGAACTAACATTTCTCTTTTTGAATTGCACTGGCTGCAGCATTTAGCAGATACATCTTGTAAGAGTAACTTCACAAAAAAATTTTGAATGCGAAAAATTGCAGCTTTGATTGGTAAAAAGAGCGTTACTTAAGATATTATACAGGGTGTCCCAAAAGTAAGTACACACTTTTCAATCGTTAATATCTCTCTTCCCATCGGTCGCTCTTCATTACTGTAGGATTACTGTAGAAACTTCGACAAGGATTTTAAGCCGTTGCAAGATATATTCTGCCTCGGAACAAAATCAAACAAGCCAAAAACTCTTATACTATGGTAAAGGAAGCCGCTGATTTCGAATATGAAACTTCCACTTGACTATGATGCTTCTTCCCTATGTTATCCCAGGTAAACCGTAATAACCGGGTTACTAGCATTTGTCGGAACTGTAATTACACTGTCAGAAAAGCTGAAA